TAAAAATACTAATAATAAAAATAATAAATAAAATAATAAAATAAAATAATTGAAACTCATTTTATAACAGTAGTATTAAGTTTTGGAAAACTTTTTCCATGATTATAAAAAATGTTTTAAAAGTATTGCAATAAAAAAAGACTAGTCTTATTAGATAAAAAATCGAGTGTTTTAATATTATATGAGTAGTGTCGAGCTTTACAGTATGTATTCTTAAGATTGAGATCATGATTCATTACAATATAGGCTTGTTTGATAATATTATCGATAGTTGCATTCGGTAATATATTTGCCCTAATTTTGCTATATGTATTTTCTATGTAATACTCATTGAAACTTGGCAAATGTTCTTGCAATACTTTCAAAAAAGGGTGACCCATATCCATCTAATAAAATAAGTCTGATAGAAATACAAGAGGTGCCTTGTTGTAGTTTTTTTTTTTTAACATAAAAAAAACGTTCAGATCTGAAAAACAGATTCTACATATTCATCAAACCGGTCTGACCGAAACAAGATAGCATACACATCAAGAGTAGTGAGAATTAAATTATCAAGTAAGTCAATAGTTGTTTGATATTCAATATCTTTGCAGGTTGAACCAAATTTTTTCATGATATCATCTCTAATTTTAAGCTAACCACATCGTGAAAGTTCTAATATAAGATTTATCTGCTAAGGCTGAAGATTTTTTGTAAACTTTTTTTTTTTGCTAAACACAAAATAAAACAGGTTCTTAAAAAAGAATAGTGAACTAACACAACCTGCTCTCTACTGTTTAATAATAGATAGAGGGGACCCATTATTGGAATAAATGACTCAAGCTTTTGCAAAAATTCATGCTACAAATCTAGAACCGTTTGCATGTGCAATGCTTTTCGAATAAATATTTGCTCAGACCAGTTAACAATAACTGATGCAACTGTTTCATTTAAATGCTCTGTTTTATCATTTAATAATAAAAGAACCTTTATGATATTAACATAATCTTGTACTGAGTGCAAACTTTGTTCATTAAATCCTATTAGTTTAAGACTATTCATTGATCTCTCCTCCCTTCATTCAGCTAAATTATCAGCATAACTATGTACCATCAAAGCCTTAATTTGATTGAATTCTTCAAAAATTAAACACCCTTGTAAAATTCGATAGTTAAAATATAATAAATCGAATATTCCTTTATATTTATGAAGTAAATATCAACAAATTCTATAAGCTTCAACATTCACTAGATTATGAATTAAT